TAAATGTGCATCAAGAAAGCTTAAACTTGTAGGCTAACATCCTGTCTGTAAGATACATCAGTCTTTCACGAGAGATGTTGTTCAGAAGCATAATCAAAATTATTGCAAGGAAAAACAAGACTGCATAATTTAAATAAAATTGAAGAACTCTACCACACACTCCAATAACAATCCCAGTCTTCTTCGATATAGGATACACCAGTGTTGAAAGCTTAAACCCGAGCAGACGAGGCTTTCTCAAGTCATCCTGTAGAATGAAATCTAGGAATGCTCTGTATAACATTGACCAGAGGTAACCTGAACATACTAAAAGCTGCATGAACCTTTCCCTATAGTAAACCAGTGTTGAAGACTTGAAATTAATCAGATGTAGTATTCTCAAGTTATGAACGATAAAGAGAGAAAATAGTATTTCAGGAAATCACTTAATCAACCGCCTAATAATGGCGGCGGGCGAACCAGAAAAAAAAAAACGCAATGAGGTACACATTTTCATTCACCACTGCTTGATCTGTAGGCAACCTCCAGTAGTACTTCCACCGGATGGCCACCTATGTATCACCAGAGGTTCAGTTAACTAGCCCTGAAATTATCCAGCTTCAATGGAGTTAAGGGAGACAACCACCTCAGTTATACCAAGGGAAGTTACATTAGGACAAGGCTGGCTGCCAGTCCACTTTCCCTTCTGTCGAGGAGTTAGAATACATAAAAGGCAACATATTCTCACTGAAGACAAAAGGAAGGCTGCGTAGTATTTAGATTCGATCCGAGAAATGGGAGAAGAGGTTCAATTCTCCATGATGGCCCTTGGCCTGGTAGGCAACTCTCTAGCCTCACACACACTGGGCGTGTTTCCCTACACCTGTTGTCCTGTTCATCTAGCAAGTAGATAGGTACCAGGGGCTTAGTCAACTGGTGTGGATCGCATCCTGGGGGACAAGACTGAGGATCCCAATGGAAATAAGATAGACAGTCCCTCGATGGCGCACTGCCTTTCTTGGGTTGTCTTGGGTGGCTAACCCTCCGGAGTTAAAAATCCGAACAAAATCTTATCTTATCCTTGACAGCAATAGGGACGGTGGTGGTGTGAACCCGACAGTGTTCACAAGTGCGTCACATCCTCTAACAAACTTAACTTTTCACTTCCTCTCTCTTGTCTCGTTTTGTTTACATCTATAACGAGGGTCAGCGAGGTACTTTATAATGTACCGAGGGAAAAATACTCCTGCCCTCCATATAACAGTCTTCATACAATTTATTATAATTTAAGTAATTTACTTCAGTGAATTAGTTTAAATTTACTTAAATTTGAAAGTAATGTTTAGTTAATAAACTAATTTTACGTTCATTTTTTAAGTAGACAAGAGGATTATAATTGGGGTCATACCCTGTTTAATCCGAGGGAGGAAAGGCTGGCTCAAATTCCTTGGATCAAGAGCTCTTCACCCGAATCAAGGCCTCCCTCGTGTAGAGGGACTTACATTGCACACGTATTGAACGTGATAACGGGGTCTACAGTAGTCAGCCAGTCAGTTGTGAGTAATTTGTCAGCCAATTAGCTGTGAGTAGAATGTCAGCCAATCAGTTGTATGTAGAATGTTAACCAATCAACTGGCAGTAGAATGCTGACAGCCAATCAGCTGTGAACAGAATTTTGGCGATCAACTATGAGTAGCTTGTTGACAATCAGCTATATTATTAAAAAGCAAGACATCATTACTCTGATGTAATCCATGCAACTTATCAGAATAATACGTCACTTACAGATCTCTGATTGTAATCTAGTTGATTGGTTAGTTGGGTTTAAAGCCTGTCGACTATGCAAGGATCATTAATTAAGGCTGTGTGTAACCTATTCACTAACGATCAAGAATACTTTAATATCCAAAATAGTGATTAAAGTATATCCTATGCACACACACACACACACACACACACACACGCACACACACGCACGCACACACACGCACGCACACACGCACGCACGCACACACACACGCACGCACACACACACACACAATCGGGGCCAGGAGCCGAGTCTCGACCCCTGCAACCACAAATAGGCGAGTACACACACAGAGGAGCTAGGACTCGACCCCTGCAACCTCAACTAGGTGAGTACACACACACACTATATAAAATATTATATATATATATATATATATATATATATATATATATATATACACACACACACACACACACACACACACACACACACAGTAGAATGACATGGAGAGCATATAAATCTGTAGGGGATGGAAGGCGGGGTAGGGGTCGTCCTCGAAAAGGTTGGAAGGGAGTAAAGAAGGTTTTGTGGGCGAGGGGCTTGGACTTCCAGGAAGCATGCGTGAGCGTATTAGATAGGAGTGAATGGAGACAAATGGTATTTGGGACCTAACGAGCTGTTGGAGTGTGAGCAGGGTAATATTTAATGAAGGGATTCAGGGAAACCAGTTATTTTTATATAGCCGGACTTGAGTCCTGGAAATGGGAAGTACAATGCCTGCACTTTAAAGGAGGGGTTTGGGATATTGGCAGTGTGGTGGGATATGTTGTGTATCTTTATATGTGTATGCTTCTAGACTGTTGTATTCTAAGTACCTCTGCAAAAACAGTGATAATGTGTGAGGTGAAAGTGTTGAATGATGAAAGTATTTTCTTTTTGGGGATTTTCTTTCTTTTTGGGTCACCCTGCCTCGGTGGAAGACGGCCGACTTGTTAAAAAAATAAAAAATATGTATAAATATGCACACATAGCCTCTCCTCACTTAACAACGGAGTTCTGTTCCTAAGACCATGTAAGCAAAACGAATTTGTCGCTAAGTGAGGAACATACTATAATAGTAGTGGGTTTGTGTCAACTATCTTTGATATCTTTTAATGTCACCTTTGCACCATTTGTAACATTTCTGGTATATTTTTAAATGTTTATACAGCAGTGTACTGTATATTGTAATAAACAGAATAGAGGAAATCAGCTGTAACATACATTTAGGCATGCATACTAGTCAAAGAGCCCACCGTAAGTCCAAGGCATCAGTAAACGCGTATGTCACTAAGTGAGGAGAGGATATATATATATATATATATATATATATATATATATATATATATATATATATATATATATATATATATATATATATATATAACACACACACACACACACACAAAGTCTGCAAACCTCACTCAAGGAAAAAGATCTGGGGGTGAGTATAACACCGAGCATATCTCCTGAGGCGCACATCAATCAGATAACTGCTGCAGCATACGGGCGCCTGGCAAACCTACGGATAGCGTTCCGATACCTCAGTAAGGAGTCGTTCAAGACTCTGTATACCATTTACGTCAGGCCCATACTGGAGTATGCAGCACTAGTTTGGAATCCACACCTAGTCAAGCACGTCAAGAAATTAGAGAAAGTGCAAAGGTTTGCAACAAGACTAGTCCCAGAGCTATGGGGATTGTCCTATGAAGAAAGGTTGAGGGAAATTGGCCTGACGACACTGGAGGCCAGGAGGGTCAGGGGAGACATGATAACGACATACAAAATACTGCGCGGAATAGACAAGGTGGACAAAGACAGGATGTTCCAGAGATGGGACACAGACACAAGAAGTCACAATTGGAAGTTGAAGACTCAGATGAATCAAAGGGATGTTAGGAAGTATTTCTTCAGTCATAGAGTAGTCAAGCCGTGGAATAGCCTAGAAAGTGAAGTAGTGGAGGCGGGAACCATACATAGTTTTAAGGCGAGGTATGATAAAGCTCATGGAGCAGGGAGAGAGAGGACCTAGTAGCAATCAGTGAAGAGGCAGGGCCAGGAGCTATGACTCGACCCCTGCAACCACAAATAGGTGAGTACACACACACACACACACACACACGCTGAGATATACACGTCACTCTGCTTATATCCTGTGAGTGTAATCATTGACACTTTATCCACCCTATCATTTTCCTGGCTGTCGTAACATTTTCCTTATTGTTTTCTTTGAAAGAAAGGTCATTTGACATAGTTACTCCCTGATCTTTCACATATTCCTTTCTTGCTATTTGAGGATCCTCTTGGATTTTGTATATAGTGTTCCTTACTGAATTCTTCTTTCCACATCTAAGGAACTGAAACCTTTCACATACCAAAGGGACTTTCATACCTATTTTGATACCATCCACAAATGATACAAAACTGTGACAGGTATTTTTAGCTATGTCAGCAGAGGCAGCAGGACCGTGCTTTGGGGTACTGAGGTTTTTACCTCACTGATGCTAGATTTTGCTCTGTTTACTACTATCTGTCAGAGAGCTGAAAATCTATTTGCTTACCTTGCCACTATGCTCACGATTCCATTTGTCAATCACCTTTACAAAATCTGTTTATGTGCAATTCTGGTGCTCCCCATCCGTGATTAACTATCAATGCGTATAACCACCCTCGTGTTAACATCAGAAATTTTTTATAACACTATTTATACGAGAATAAATGCATTTGGAAATATTCTGGCTAGTCATTCTTAACACGACTGTGTGAAACCAAGGGGAGAGATGCTTTTTTCCACAGGTGTTCTAAAGATTTGGAAAGAATACAATAGTATAAGAAAAGTATGGAACTGAAGGTTCTTTTATTGATGTCTTCAGATTAAATTTTACGTGAAGAAAATACTTCATTACATCTTGATACATGGAAAGGTATGTATTTTTTAGATCTTCAGTAGCCTCAAATATGAGACAAGCAGTAGACTTTCAACATTTTATGTTGAACTAGAGACAAGATGAGGTAATCAGTCCCTCAATTTAGAAGGTAACTACGTGAGTTTATTCAATAAGTGAAGTCTAAAGCAGTAAATATTGGGGAATGTCCCCAATATTTATGCTGAAAGAGGAGTGGGGAGCGAGTATTGAGGTTCAATCCAAGTCTTGTTTAGTATTGTCCAAATCTGTCATTTTAAGACATGTTAATGCCAACAGTGTAGAATAGGTTATATAAAAACAAGATCTCGATTGTTGGCTTTAATGATGTAACTTATTCTTAATGCAAAATATGCTGTGAACTACTTGGAAATATTAATTATATAAATATAAAAGCAGTCTCTTTGAGGATCAAAGTGGATAAAAAATCTAGTGAATCATAGTAATTTATAAGTACACACATGAATAATAGTATTAGGTTACGAATTCAGTCCACCTATCCCTCACTAACATGGTGTGACATGCTCCAAGGAAAGGTTACATGGAATGAGCAGTAAGATTCCAGACAACGTCAAACTCCCTTTCTCATATCGGGTACATACTCCCAAACCTAACTTGAAAATGCACATACCTATACAAAACTCACTGAAAGGCAATTTTATATGATTATATAAATTCTAGATAAAGACAGATGAAAAACCTTTTTGTTACAAATGTCAAGAAAGTTAAGAGTTCTATGGATAAAAATATATTATTGTAGGAAATGTACAAAAAATACTATAGTTATTCCTAGAATGCCACTGTTATACAACATACTATAATGCAGAAAGAAAAATATGAATATCAATTTACTGTATATACAGTATTCACACTTATTTTGGGTATTGCTTTCGCCCAGGTCAATGACTGGGCCATAGGGGCATTGACCCCTGGAACACCCTCCAGGTAGGTAGGTAGCCCTCATGTCTTTGGCATCACTACTCCAACATCTTCATCAGTTTCAATACCAATCTCCTCATAGAGCTGTTTCTTTGGGTGAGGGTAACCTTCCATGATTGCATCCAGTACATCAAGTGCCATTCTCTTTCTCTTTCGCCACTCTTTAATCATCTGTTCACTCACTTTAGTGACCTGATCTTTTTCCTCTTTTGATACAAGCACTTGATTCTCCTGCAGACTAGACAGCTTCAACTGGAGTTGTGACACTTCTTCCTCAAGCTATAAATAGTGTAGAGAACTTTAAATGAACATTTCACAGTGTGCTCAGATACAAGCTACAGTGAGAACCCTTCAAGGGAGGGCAGGGAATGCCTAAATGCTGGTGAAGGGCTCTTCATCCAAGGAATTATACACACCCTTTTTTTTCCTTGGGTCAAACCTGATTATCTCCTTTGTCCAAGGGACTGTATGACCCACACAGGTTTAGTACCTTCCCATGAAAACATTAAGTAATAATAATAATGATAAACTAATAAAGCAATAATAATAATGATAATATGGAGTACGAAATAAAGAGAACCTCTGGAAAACATAGTAGTAATTAGATTTTCTATACAGTGGTGAGGCATTCTGAAAGAGGGGTCATTTGAATTGAAATGTCTGTGCACTTCTTGCAAGACGTCTACTGAATGAATGATGGTGAATGAGGTTCTTTTTCACGGCTCACTTTAGTAGGGGTGTGCCAAAGTATGGGTATCAGCCAATTTTGATGGTATCATTATTGGCTTAAAACTGAGTAGTGAAAAAAAAAAAAAAAAAAAAAACTGGTACCTGCACTCTACACAAATAACCCTCACATAGGAGACTGACACTTGCGATGGCTACTTTTGTAGTAGACAGCCAATGTTAAAAAATATAATTAATTCACTGGTTGGTTATCATAAGTCCACGATTCCACATCACAACCCATATTTATTACTATATACTTATTTTGCAGTACAGCAATAAACATGAATTTACAATTATTTAGCTGCAAGGAGATTGCCAGGCGAGTGCTTTCAAGATACACACGAAGAAGTGAACAAGTTCTTAGAAGATGACGAGGAAGAAAGAAGTCCAGAGGAAATGTTGGAAAAGTTCAATGCACAGATACAAGGGAAGCAGATAACAGATGACGGTGAGTAGGAAGAATCTAAAGAAAAAACAGTTAACACTGCAACAGTTATATGAGCAGTTCCATATTACTGGTTAAGTTGCAGATTTTTTCACTGAAAGGACCTTGACCAAGCTAGAAGCATTGCTCTAAAATGGAGTCTGGAGCAACTGAAAATACCTAACTGTCAGCTGTATAAAGTACTCTATGGTAAAACAGATCAAATACACTTTACGAAGTTCCTAAGTACTCCAATACAACCATCGACATCAGTGCAAGAACCTCAGCAATTCACCTCAACCAATAATCCACAACCTTCCACCTCAGCCCAGTAGGGTCATACCATACTACTCCACTCCTTTCAAAATCATATACACCTGTAACCAGAATTAAGGGTAAGAAATATTCTTTATGTAAATTTTGTAGCCATAAACAGTGTATTAAACATAACACATCACTAAATCCAACTATATTTATTTTTTTACAGTTTCAAGACCTTAAATATTTGTTTGCCATATTTGGAGGGTCAGGCATACATAACCCTATTTTTCCCTATGTTCTTCACTTCAATTTAGATTTTTTTTTAAACACCATTTTTGAAAGCATAATTACCATCTTAATCGATGGTCAACTGTATATAGCCACTTGATACCTATGCAGATGCTCATAATTTTTTGGTAAAAATAAGTCAAAACATGGACTCTTTCCCAAATTCTGGCTCCATGTTAATTGTATAGGGGATTGACACAGTTCTTTTGACAGATTCTGAAGACAAGTTGTGATGGCTGGTGGATGAACTTGGTAGGGCATAGAGAAGAAGGAAATTAAAAGCAAGCATAGAAATGAGCAAGGTGATGAGGGGTAACAAATAGTTTAGGCAATGATAGATTGAATATCAGACTGGAAGGAGAGAGTATGGAGGAAGTAGGTCTATTTAGATATACAAGAGCAGACATGTCATCATATGGGCCTATGAAACATTAGGTGAATCACAAAATCGATGAAGGGAAAAAAAATGGGTAGTGTGTTAAGGCATCTGTGGAAAGAAAGCTTATCAATGAAGGCAAAAAGTATAGCAGTACATGTGCGAAGCACAGATTTTGAATGCTGCAGTAAGGACAGAGGCAGTATGTGGTGTCAATGTCACGTAGAGAATTCAGAACGTAGAAATTAGAAGGTTATGCTACATCACTAAGTTTATAACTCAGATGACTGAGGAAGGGGAAGCTGTTGTTGACTGATATGGATATGTAGAGCAGATGGAGAGGGATAGGATAATGAAGAAGTTGCATAAATTTAGGGTGGAAGGTAAGAGGAATACGAGTCATCCCAGGAAAGGCTTTGAGTTCTAGGGGCTTGAGCATCCAGCAGGACTGAGCAAACGTGTTATATAGAAGTGAATGGAGACAATCAGGTTTATGTGGAAGTGCTGTTGGAGTATGAGGAAGATCATGGTTATGAAGGGATTCAGGAAAGCTGGTTAACTGGACTTGAGTGCCAGAGATGGGAAGGGCAGTGCTAACACTCTGGAGGAAGAGTAGGTATGATGCAGTCAGAGGGTAATCTGAAATGCAAAGTCAGCACACTTTTGGCAAGATAAAAATTGAATGAATGATGGTGAATGTGTTTTCTTCTTTGGGTCACCCTTTGATGGGAGACGGTCACTGAGGTTTAAAAAAAAAAAAAAAAAAAGCTCTTTCAGTTCTTTTAAGACAAAATTAATTTCTTTTCAATACAGCCTCTCCTCACTTAGCGACTTACTCATTTACCGACAACTCGGACTTATGACGGGCTCTCTGGCCAGTATGCATACCTAAATAATGTATATTAGAGCTGATTTCCTCTATCTTTTTTTATTACAATATACAGTACAGTAATATATAAATATTTAAAAATAGTATACCAGAAATGTTATAAATGGTACAAAGGTGATATACCTTTGAAGAGTTTCGAGAGTTTCACTACTCTCGTCTGGTGCTTGCCTGGTTAACCAGGGTGTTGTTGGTGGAGGTCCGCTGCTCCCCCATATCCATCACAGCCTGGTTGATCTGGCACCTGGTGAAGATACTTGTCCAGTTTCCTCTGTGACATTAAAACAATATCAAAGATGGTTGACACAAGCTCACTACCATTATAGTATGCTCCTCACTTAGCGACGAATTTGTTTAATGACGTGGTCTCAGGAATGGAACTCCGTCGTTAAGTGAGGAGAGGCTGTACTACAAATTTGGGGAAAATAAGCTTCCCGACACATTACATGCCAATTTCCATAGAACACTGTGGGATACATTATGCTATGAGTAATTCTGATTATGGCATGCTGAAAAGAATGGGAATGAGGTCAATACCACTAAATATGACAGAGAAGTTATTGTGTGGACCGAGCATAAAACAGAGATGCCCCATGTAATGACGTTTTAATAAGGGAGAAAAATCATTCCAGAAATCAAGTTAGTTGTTTAATAAATACTAGTGATGGGAGGATACCAAATTTTTTGGTGATACTGATATTCAATTTTAGGCTAATACCAGGTGGGAAGGGAATTGCCTGCACTCTGGAGGAGGAGGGGGTATGATGCAGTCTGAGGGATATCTAAATTGCAATGTCAGCATACATTTGGCAAGATAACAACTGAATGAATGACAGTAAATGTATTTTCTTCGTTAAGTCACCCTTCCTTGGCAGGAGATTGCCAATGGATTAAAAAAATACCAAGACCATCACAATTAGCCAATACAGTGGACCCCCGCATACCGTTGGCATCACATAACGATTAATCCGCATACCGCTCACTTTAATCGCAAAAATTGCCTCGCATACCGCTCAAAAACCCGCTCACCGCTGTTCGTCCGAGACGCGTCCAATGTGCGCCTTAGCCAGCCTCACATGTTCCGTCGGTGGCCTCCGCGGTAGCATCCAAGCATACAATCGTAACATTTCGTATTATTACAGTGTTTTTGGTGATTTTATCTGGAAAATAAGTGACCATGGGCCCCAAGAAAGCTTCTAGTGCCAACCCTACAGCAATAAGGGTGAGAATTACTATAGAGATGAAGAAAAAGATCATTGATAAGTATGAAAGTGGAGTGCGTGTCTCCGAGCTGGCCAGGTTGTATAATAAACCCCAATCAACCATGGCTACTATTGGTGGTACAGCTGCTGCTGCTGCACTGTCAGCTGCTGCTGCTGCTGTAGCATCGTCTGCTGCTGCTGTAGCATCGTCTGCTGCTGCTGTAGCATCGTCTGCTGCTGCTGTAGCATCGTCTGCTGCTGCTGTAGCACTGTCAGCTGCTGCTGCTGCTGTAGCATCATCTGCTGCTGCTGTAGCATTGTCTGCTGCTGCTGTAGCATTGTCTGCTGCTGCTGCTGCTGTAGCATCGTCTGCTGCTGCTGTAGCATCGTCTGCTGCTGCTGTAGCATCGTCTGCTGCTGCTGTAGCACTCTTGTTGGTGTGGCTTATTGAGAATATACCAAGAAACAATTAACCCCAGAGGATTTGCCACCCAGGATAACCCAAAAAAGTCAGTGTCATCGAAGACTGTCTAACTTATTTCCATTGGGGTCCTTAATCTTGTCTCCCAGGATGCAACCCACACCAGTCGACTAACACCCAGGTGAACAGGGAAAAATGCCTGGAACTAGTGCTCATATTGGTGAATTTAAAGCCAGCAAAGGTTGGTTTGAGAGATTTAAGAATCGTAGTGACATACACAGTGTGATAAGGCATGTTCTGGAAGAAAATACCAAACAGGACCTACAGTACTCAGGAGGAAAAGGCACTCCCAGGACACAGTGTCTCATCAGTCATTGCTGCATCTTCAATAAAGGTAAGTGTCATTTATTCTTCATTTAGTAGACTAGTACATGCACAATATATACTGTGCATGTACTACTCTACTATTGTGCATGTATCCTTCTCTTTGTGTGTAGGAAAATGTATATTTCATGTGGTAAAAATTTTTTTCATACTTTTGGGTGTCTTGCACGGATTAATTTGATTTCCATTATTTCTTATGGGGAAAATTCATTCGCATACCGATTATTTCGCATACCAATGAGCCCTCTTGCACGGATTAAAATTGGTATGCGGAGGTCCACTGTACTTACTGACACTGATACCATCAAAATCGGCTGATCCCAATAATTTGGTACACCCACAATCAACACTGCTTCATCCATTGTCTGACTACGCCAAAAAAACATGAGTGGCATAAATGGCATCTTTATGCTGGAGGCTGGAGTTAGCCACAGACCACACATATATACCTACATAAAGAGTGCGCATAAATTTCACAATTTGTGCATTTCAATCGATTTAATACCAAAAAAAATAATGAATGAATTCCCAGATACTTTTACTGCAGTGATGTCACCTATGATGTTTTAAGTCATAAACTGTAATAGGGGAAATTATTGCAATAAGGAGAAAAAAAAGTATTAAAGAAAAATTGTAACAAGGAAAAATTGTAATAAAGAAAAATTGTAACAAGGAAAAATTGTAATAAGGAAAAATTGTAATAAGGAAAAAATGCTCTTAGAACTCTCAGAATTAAATGGAATTAAGCCTCTACTGTTCCTCACACTTTGGATAATTTTTATAAAACTACTTCTCATGGATGAGGCTCTGTCTGTAGAGTGGTTCAGTCAAATTTTTGGCTCAAGTCATGATGTACCTGCACTAAAAGAAACTTCCATTTGAAATTCTCCTGACTCTGGATAATTCCTTCAACCATCTTCAAATCTTGCAGTCTCTAGATCCAAATTTTAATGTTGTGTTTTCTCCACAAAATATGACATCTTTTAGACAACCACTGGATTGACGGGTTGTTAAAATATTTAAGTGCCACTACACAAGCAGGGTGGTGCAGAAACTCATCACAGCAACGAATGAAGACCCACAGCAGAGTGTCACAGCTGTTATATATTTAACATTGAAGGTGCAATAGCTCACATAAAACTTGTTTGGAATGAAGTTTCCCCAATCAACAATAAATTCAGGCTAGGGAAGAATATGGCCTCGTGTAATGAATAATAACAATAAATAATAATATCTTTAATTCTACAAGTACATGTACATGGTATACAGACCTAGTTGACATCAATGACATACTACTATATAGAAAGCCCCTTGTTATGCAGAGCATTTCAGGCAAATTAGGTCAGTTTTGTCCCCAGGATGCGACCCACACCAGTTGACTAACACCTAGGTAACCATAAATAACAAAAAAGGCACAATACCGTGACTGGAACGATACACAGTGACTTTGTCAATGGTCCAAGTCGGACCGAAACGTCGTCGTAAGCTTCTCTCTTTTATGTGCGGGTTATTTGTGTACCTAGGTAACCATTTTACTGATGGGTGAAACATAGACGACCGATGTAAGGAAACACGCCCAATGTTTCTATCCTTGCCGGGAATCAAACCCAGACCCTCAGCATGTGAAGCGAGAGCATTTGCTACCAGAAAACTGTGAATATTATGAGGGCAGACCAAGCTGAGGGCTCTGAGGATATGCACCATAACACATCTAGAAACAATGCTGTAAAGCATACTGTACACAGAGATTCTGGGTACAACAAAACAACTAGATAAATGCAGCAATTTATCTCAGACCAAGAACCACAGCCAACCACAATCGCCCAACGACCACAACCATCCAAAGCAGTCCAACAACAGCTATCCACCACACAGGCATGAGGAACTTTCTGCAAGACATTCAGTGGGAAGAGAAAATTGGCAGGAAAACCAGCAAAAGAAATGATCGACTATTTGACAGCAAAATGCAAGGAGGAAGAGGAGAGATTTGTTCCCAAGGGAAACAGAAATAATGAAAAGACCAGAACAAGTCCTTGGTTCACCCAAAGTTGTAGGGAGGCAAAAACTAAGTGCACTAGAGAATGGAAAAAGTAGAGAAAACAAAGGACCCAAGAAAATAAAGAGATTAGATGAAGAGCCAGAAACGAACATGCACAGATAAGAAGGGAGGCTCAGCAACAATACGAAAATGACACAGCATCGTAAGTCAAGTCTGACCTGAAGCTGTTGTATAGCCACATCATGAGGAAAACAACAGTCAAGGACCAGGCAATCAGGCTGAGGAAGGAAGGTGGGGAGCTCACAGGATACAACCACGAGGTATGCGAGGAGCTCAACATGAGATTTAAAGAAGTATTTACAGTGGAGACAGGAAGGACTCCAGGAATTCAGAATAGGGAGGTACACCAACAAGTGCTGGATGAAATACACACAACCGAGGAGGAGGTGAAGAAGTTCCTATGTGAACTCAATAAGTCAAAGGCGGTGGGACCAGACAACATCTCTCTGTGGGTCCTTTGAGAGGAAGCAGAGATACTGTGTGTGCCACTAACAAAAATCTTCAACACACCCTTTGAAACTGGGCAACTACCTGAGGTATGGAAGATGGCAAATGTAGTCCCAATTTTTAAGAAAGGAGACAGACACTTGGCATTAAACTACAGACCTGTGTCACTGACGTGTATAGTATGCAAAGTCATGGAGAAGATCATTAGGAGAGTGGTGGAGCACCTAGAAAGACACAAGTTTATTAATGACCAGCATGGTTTCAGGGAAGGAAAATCCTGTGTCACAACCTACTGGAGTTTTATAAGGTAACAGAAGTAAGACATGAGAGAGAGGGGTGGATAGATTGTATTTTCTTGGACTGCGTTAAAGACTTCAACAAAGTTCTTCACAAGAGGTTAATACAAAAGCTAGAGGATCAGGCACGCAAAACAGGAAAGGCACTGCAATGGATCAGAGAATATCTGACAGGGAGGCAACAACAAGTCATGGTACGTGACAGTGTCAGAGTGGGCACCTGTGCTGAGTGGGGTTCCACAGGGGTCAGTCCTAGGACCTGTGCTGTTTTTGGTATGTATATGTGAATGGCATAATGGAAGGGATAGACTCAAAAGTGTCCCTGTTTGCAGATGATATGAAGCTAATGAGGAGAATTAAATCGTTGAGGATCAGGCAGGACTACAAAGAGACCTGTAAAGACTACAATCCTGGTCCAGCAACTGACTCCTTGAATTTAACCCTACCAATTGCAAAGCCATGAAGATCAGGAAAGGGCAAAGAAGACTGCACACAGAGTATAGTCTAGGTGCCAAAGACTGCAAACCTCACTCAAGGAAAAAGATCTTGGGGTGAGTATAATACTGAGCACATCTCCTGAGGCACACATCAATCATATAACTACTGCAGCACATGGGGATCTGGCAAACCTAAGAATAGTGTTCCGATACCTCAATAAGGAATCATTCAAGACTCTGTACACCATATACGTCAGGCCCATATTGGAGTATGCAGCACCAGTTTGGAATCCATGCCTGGTCCAGCATGTCAAGAAATTAGGGAAAGTGCAAAGGTTTACAACAATACCAGTCCCAGAACTAAGGGGATTGTCCTATGAAGAAAGGTTAAAGGAAATCAGCCTGACGACACTGGAGGACAGGAGGGTCAGGGAAGACATGATAACGACATATAAAATACTGTGAGGAATTGACAAGGTGGAAAAGACAGGATATTCCAGAGATGGGACACAGAAACAAGTGGTCACAGTTGGAAGCTGAAGACTCCAATGAGTCAAAAAGATGTTAGCAAGTATTTCCTCAGTCAGAGTTGTCAGGAATTAGAATAGCCTAGAAAGTGATGTAGTGGAGGCAGGAACCATACATAGTTTGAAGACAAGGTTTGATAAAGCTCATGGGGCAGGGAGAGAGAGGACCTAGTAGCAATCAGTGAAGCGGCAGGGCCAGGAGCTATGACTCGACCCCTGCAACCACAAATGAGTGCATAATGTATGTCAAGACCTACTATCGAGAATTTTAGATAATAAACAATTGAGTAGGGTAATCTTTTATGATATTTTTTTGGAGGTCTTGGTCTGGCATTTCACTAAAATGCAGTTTTCAGGTGGTTAAAGCTCTCATTTCACACGGCGAGGGCCTGGGTTCGATTCCCAGCAAGAGTAGAAACATTGGGCATGTTTCTTTGCACCTGTTGTCTATGTTCCCCATTAGTAAAATGGGTACCTGGGAGTTAGTCGACTGGTGTGGGTCGCATTCTGTGACACCGATCTAATTTGCCCAAAATGTTCAACATAACAAGGGGCTTTCTATACATGGACCCCCGCATAACGATCACCTCCGAATGCGACCAATTATGTAAGTGTATTTATGTAAGTGCGTTTGTACGTGTATGTTTGGGGGTCTGAAATGGACTAATCTACTTCACAATATTCCTTATGGGAACAAATTCGGTCAGTACTGGCACCTGAACATACTTCTGGAGTGAAAAAATATTGTTAACCGGGGGTCCACTGTATAGTAGTATGTCACTGATGTCAGCTAGGCCTGTATACCATGTACATGTACTTGAAGTAAATATAGTATTATTATTATTATTATTATTATTATAAAGGGAAAAATAATCTTTTCTGTTAAATGTGTAAGCATAATCCCATTACTATATTGAACATACCTCTGATGCTTTTTTCATGGCTTCCACTGTAGTGAGAGTAGAGTTCAAATTCCTCAATTTGGCCTCTACCTCTGCATACTCTTTCTCGGTGTCCTTGATTCCTTTATTCAGTTCAACCACCTGGTTATCCATCTTTTTGAGTTTCTCTTCATCCAGTGGTGGGAACTGGCCCTGATCGAAGACATAAACCTTCTGTTTGCCATACGTCTTTTCTTTAACTGACCCATTCTACAAAATAAATTAAGTCAATAAACATATATTCTTTAATATTCAGAACATGCATTGGCCGTCTCGTATCAAGGCAGGGTGACCCCACAAAAGAAAACATTCACCATCATTTATTCAATAACCATTTTGCCAGAAGTTGACATCACAATTTAAATGACCTTCTCAACAACATTTCCACCTATCCTTCAAAGTGCAGCACTATACAGTGGACCCCCGGTTAACGATTTTAATCCGTGCAAGAGGGGTAATTGTTATGCGAAATAATCGTTATGTGAATGAATTTCCCCCATAAGAAATAATGGAAATAAAATTAATCCGTGCAAGACACCCAAAAGTATGAAAAAAAAAATTTTACCACATGAAATATACATTTTCCCACACACAAAGAGAAGGATACATGCACAATAGTAGAGTAGTACATGCACAGTATATATTGTGCATGTACTAGTCTACTAAATGAAGAATAAATGACACTTACCTTTATTGAAGATGCAGCAATGACTGATGAGACACTGTGTCCTGGGAGTGCCTTTTCCTCCTGAGTACTGTAGGTCCTGTTTGGCATTTTCTTCCAGAACAGGCCTTATCACACTGTGTATGCCACTACGATTCTTAAATCTCTCAAACCAACCTTTGCTGGCTTTAAATTCACCAATATGAGCACTAGTTCCAGGCATTTTTCCCTGTTCACCTGGGTGTTAGTCGACTTGTGTGGGTTGCATCCTGGGAGATAAGATTAAGGACCCCAATGGAAATAAGTTAGACAGTCTTCGATGACACTGACTTTTTTGGGTTATCCTGGGTGGCAAATCCTCTGGGGTTAATTGTTTCTTGGTATTCTCAATAAGCCACACCAACAACGGTGCTACAGCAGCAGCAGCAGCTGACAGTGCAGCAGCAGCAGCAGCTGACAGTGCAGCAGCAGCAGCAGCTGTACCACCAATAGTAGCGATGGTTGATTGGGGTTTATTATACAACCTGGCCAGCTCGGAGACATGCACTCCACTTTCATACTTATCAATGATCTTTTTCTTCATCTCTATTGTAATTCTCACCCTTATTGCTGTAGGGTTGGCACTAGAAGCTTTCTTGGGGCCCATGGTCACTTATTTTCCAGAAAAAGCACCGAAAACACTGTAATAATACGAAATATTCCGATTGTATGCTTGGATGTTACCGCGGAGGCTGGCTGGTAAACAATGCCACCGGCGGAACATGTGAGCGCGTCTCGGAAGAAAATCGGTAAGCGGGTTTTTAAGCGGTATGCGAGGCAAAATTTTTGCAATTAAAGTAAGCGGTATGCGAAATAATCGCTATGTGATGCCATCGTTATGCGGGGGTCCACTGTACTTTCTATCTTCAGGACTCAAGTACGGCTAACCCCTCTTTCCTTCCACCTTGGATTTATCCACCCTCTTAAATATCCTATTCGGCTCCATCCCTTTTAAATGCCCAAACTATTTTAACAACCCTCCTCCACCCTCTAAATTATACCTTTCATAACCCCACAGCATCTGCAAATTTTATGCAATGAATTCTTTGCATAAAATTCCCACGACACATTACTATTAAACACAACATCTCCACTCCTTCCAGCTCCATCCTCACTGTAAAATTCTAAGTCCATGCCTCACCCCTATATTTTTTTTTTTTTTATCATACTGTACATTAGAACACTCCTCTATTTTGCCTCCATACATAAGCTTCTTTCTGTCCACAGATGCCTCAACATTTCACATATCTTTTCACCTTTGCCCTTTGTCCATTCTATGGTTCATTTCATCTCTGACAAACCTATCTGCCAACATGCTCACTCCCAATACATGAATGCATTCACTTTTCCCTTACCCCTCTCTCTCTCTGATCTGATATCAAATTATTCATTGCCTAAAAAAATATAACATTTATGAAGGGAATCAGGAAAACCAATTAGGTTGACTTGAATCCTGGAAGTGGGAATTACAGTGCCTGTACTCTGAAAAGTAAGGTTGGGATGCATCACTTGAATAGTGATGTCAGCTCACTTCTGGTAAGACAGCTATTGAATAAATGATGGTGAATGTATCAAATGAAATCAACATCAATAAGTAATGCTAATAAAAATAAATCAATTGAAAACCTAGAACTATCAGATGAATTCTGCTGAACAACTTCAAGAATGATACACTATACAGTAACTGGATCTCTACAAGAAAAGTGTCTTAAAGGTGGTACAGGGCTCTTGATCCAAATAACTATAGCCACCCCTCTTCCTTGGATCAAACTGGATTACCCTGGCAATGTATATTTCTTATCTGTACATTAAGAACTTCCCATGAAAGTAAAAATAATAATACAATAGTGTATTGCACTATATCAAGCTACTGTACAGTGTGTTGAATCACTTGTTACTTATTTATGAAAGTTGTCATTCTACAATTGCCAGACAAAGATTAACATGACTGAATAGAGTCAGGTTGAGGCTACAGCTCAAATATGACGGATGTTCTTCTCATTATTTAAATACGGAAAAACTGCGAAAAACACAATAGCATTTACAGCAATACAATTTCTATGAGCACAGGACATTGTGCAATAAGAAATACCAATTGTATATTTTTTTCCACTTAGTGTTGTTAAGTACATTATATACCCTTTGTACTCAATCTACTTAAAAGAGGTTATCATGGATAGATAAAATGAATATACAGCATTGTACATTTAGATACATTATAACTAAAAGACACGTCACTCACAAAGCCTGACTAGTCACAGGGATGCTGACCCCCAGAACACCCTCCAGGTATACTACAGACCTGTATACAGGTACAGAATTATTATTAGGTTTTGCTTTTCATGGAGAGCTAAACCCATGCAAATCATTCAGAACAGGGAGTAACAGAGGACTGAACCTCAATCTGCTAATTGTATCCCTGTTTCTGACTAATTGGGTTGTTAGGTAGAGAGTTAGGCAGTTGAAAAGGTTTGGATTTCACAGAACTGGATTAATTTATTAGAGATAAAAACTTACTCTTCATCATGATTACCAGAACCATTTTCTAAAATTAGGTGAAATATCCCAAAACACTTAATCACCCTAGACTAAATGCTAAAAACTCAGTACACACATACTCACCTATGTACTCCCACATCATAACTTGACAGGAATATAATTGAACCATTGTTTTCCACAAGAAGCATTTTAGACTATATGAATATATCCTTTGTCTTATACAAATTTAATTCACTTATAATTAATAATCTACTGTTCAACTATGAAATAATTACTATCCTATTCTACAACTATGATAAAATCCTTAGTGTTAAGTAGTCTGTAAACCAATAATGTTAAGTTGGACCATAATGCCTAGGCATAATATTATTATTATTATAATAATCAAGGGGGAAGCACTAAACCCGTAAGATTATACAGCGCCTGAGGGGGGAATGTGGAAGGTATTCAGGTTTAATTCAGGGAACTGGAGAACAGATCCAATTCCCAAGATCAAGAGCCCCTCACCAGCATCAAGGAACCTTTCTTGAGGGGTCTAGGCATAATAGAGGCTCTCTTGGCATTACAACCCACTATTATAAATACAAAATCTCAATGTACTGTTTGCAAAGACATAAAATAAATAAATGTACAATTATCCTACACAGTAATACACTGTGTAAATTACCTAGGATAACCCCAAAATATCAGAGTGACTTATTACTACTGGGGTCCTTGAAGGAAAGGGAAAAGTAGCTCCAATTTCACGAATCAAGAACCATTCACCGGCATCAAGGCATCTCACCACCAAAAAAGACAACAGACAAATAGTAATAATCAACAGGGAAGGATTATTATTATTATTATAAACAAGGGGGAAGCGCTAAACCCGGAGGATAATACAGCGCCTGGGGGGGGATGTGGAAGGCATTCAGGCTTAATTTGGGGAACTGGAGCACAGATCCAACTCCCTAAATCAAGAGCCCCTCACCAACATCAAGGAACCTTCATTGAGGGGGAACAGGGAAGGAAAAAAACAGGAGATAACTCACAAGAACGAGGTGGTCGAGGCACTTCTGGACGGCCGTCTTGCCCACCTCCTTGTGCAGGTTCATGAAGATGTCAGTCACACTGTATGGTCGGTTCTGCTGCTCAAGGTACCTCTTTATCTTCTCCGTCGCTTCAGCATCCTTTTTACTCATTGTGGCAGTGAATAACTTCCAGACGAGTGAAAGAAGTTGAAAGTAGCGGCCTGGCTGCCTTCACTCATCTATATAAACATTCTCTAGTGTTAATGTTGAAAGAAAATAACAGTAGAGGAGTAACTATCTTAATTATTAAGATACTCTCTTTCACTTGATAATACTGTGATTAATTCGGTATTATCTCTCTCTCTTGCTGTGATATGGACACTTTGTATGATTAAAAGTAATATATTGTAAAGTTTTTATAGCTTCAGGTATTTTTTTTCTTAATTGTTATAAAATCTCATTGGAAAATTAAATATTCGTTGCATGCTTGCCTGATCATTTGATTGCTTGATTAAGTTTATTTAGGTGCAGGTAAGCATAAACACAGTTACACAAATCATCATACATAAACAACATATGTGTAAAGTATTAGAGATAACTCAAAAAACTCAGACGAAGTGACTTATTTCTATTAGGATCATTGATGCATATTTTTGGTATAGATACATAACTAGGCCTGAGCTTGCTACCATCTGCAGCTCATAAGACTGCCATCCCCACGAGCCCCTTTGGGAGGAGGCAGATGGCAGACCAGAGGCCTAGCTTCTCCCTACGAGCCCCGTGAGGGCGGGGAATGTGGCTAGGCCTGGGGACAGTTGGTCCCAAAGATGAGGGGGTACTTGTTCCTCCTCCCATGGGAGACTTACGTCTCGAGACACTCCCCAGATAGGGAGCCAAGGCCGGGTCACCACTACTTGGAAAAGACCCGGGCCGGTAGAGTACCGGCGAATAAAAAAAAAATACATACATACATACATACATACATATCTTCCTTCTTTCAACAAACCGACCGTATCCCACCGAGGCAGGGTGGCCCAAAAACACGAAAGTTTCTCTTTTTAACTTTTGTAATATATACAGGAGAAGAAGTCACTAGTCGCTTGGTCCCGGCATTTTAGTCGCCTCTAATGACACGCATGGCTTACGGAGGAAGAATTCTTTTCCACTTCCCCATGGCGAACATACATACATATATATATGTATATGTGCAAAACAGCCACTGTGAAAGAGTAGTGAAATTCCAAGCGCTTTCGTGACTACTCACATTTTCGTGACTACTCGCATTGTTCCTTGACAATGTGAGTAGTCACGAAAGCACTTGGAATTTCACTCCTCTTTCACAGTGGTTGTTTTGCATATTTTAAAATCACCTGTTTACTGTGGTCTTATTGCATATGTATATGTGTGTGTACACACCTAATTGTACTCACCTAATTGTGGTTGCAGGGGTCGAGACTCAGCTCCTGGCCCCGCCTCTTCACTGATCGCTACTAGGTCCTCTCCCTCTCTGCTTCCTGAGCTTTGTCATACCTCTTCTTAAAACTATGTATGGTTCCTGCCTCCACTACTTCACTTGCTAGGCTATTCCACTTCCTGACGACTCTATGATTGAAGAAATACTTCCTAACGTCCCTGTGACTCGTCTGAGTCTTCAGCTTCCAGTTGTGACCCCTTATTTCTGTGTCCCCTCTCTGGAACATCCTATCTCTGCCCACCTTGTCTATTCCCCGCAGTATCTTGTATGTCGTTATCATGTCTCCCCTGACCCTTCTGTCCTCCAGTGTCGTCAGTCCGATTTCCCTCAACCTTTCCTCGTACGACATTCCCCTGAGCTCTGGGACTAGCCTTGTGTGTGTGTGTGTGTGTGTGTGTGTGTGTGTGTGTGTGTGTGTACTCACCTATTTACTCACCTATTTGTGGTTGCAGGGGTCGAGTCACAGCTCCTGGCCCCGCCTCTTCGCTGATTGCTACTAGGTCCTCTCTCTCCCTGCCCCATGAGCTCTATCATACCTCGCCTTAAAACTATGTATGGTTCCCGCCTCCACTACGTCACTTTCTAGGCTATTCCACGGCCTGACTACTCTATGACTGAAGAAATACTTCCTAACATCCCTTTGATTCATCTGAATCTTCAACTTCCAATTGTGACGTCTTGTGTCTGTGTCCCTTCTCTGGAACATCCCGTCTTTGTCCACCTTGTCTATTCCGCGCAGTATTTTATATGTCATTATCATGTCTCCCCTGACCCTCCTGTCCTCCAGTGTCGTCAGGCCGATTTCCCTCAACCTTTCTTCGTAGGACAATCCCCGTAGCTCTGGGACTAGTCTTGTTGCAAACCTTTGCACTTTCTCTAATTTCTTGACGTGCTTGACTAGGTGTGGATTCCAAACTGGTGCTGCATACTCCAGTATGGGCCTGACGTAAATGGTATACAGAGTCTTAAACGAATCCTTACTGAGGTATCGGAACGCTATCCGTAGGTTTGCCAGGCGCCCGTATGCTGCAGCAGTTATCTGATTGATGTGCGCCTCAGGAGATATGCTCGGTATTATACTCGCCCCCAGATCTTTTTCCTTGAGTGAGGTTTGCAGTCTTTGGCCATCTAAACTATATTGTGTCTGCGGTCTTCTTTGCCCTTCCCCAATCTTCATGACTTTGCATTTGGCGGGGTTAAACTAAAGGAGCCAGTTGCTGGACCAGGCTTGTAGCCTGTCCAGGTCTCTTTGTAGTCCTGCCTGATCCTCATCCGATTTGATTCTTCTCATTAACTTCACATCATCTGCAAACAAGGACACTTCTGAGTCTATCCCTTCCGTTATGTCGTTCACATATACCAAGAACAGCACAGGTCCTAGGACTGACCCCTGTGGAACCCCGCTTGTCACAGACGCCCACTTTGACACCTCGTCACGTACCATGACTCGTTGTTGCCTCCCTGTCAGGTATTCTCTGATCCATTGCAGTGCCTTTCCTGTTATGTGTGCCTGATCCTCTAGCTTTTGCAGTAACCTCTTGTGAGGAACTGTGTGTGTGTGTGCGTGTGTGTGTGTGTGTGTGTGTGTGTGTGTGTGTGTGTGTGTGTGTGTGTGTGTGTGTGTGTGTGTGTGTGTGTGTGTGTGTGTGTACTCACCTAATTGTGGTTGCAGAGACCTGGTGTGCGTCGGGGTTGGGGGTGCGTAGAGGGAAACTTTTAGTGTGTCCGTAGCTAAGGAAGCTATAGTGTAGTACTTGACAATTTCCTCATCACTGCTAGTTCCCCAGCTCAGGCTGACATATTTCATAACTTTTGAGTTGTATAAAATAGTATAGGTTGGTTAATAATAAAAAAAACAGGCGTCTCAAAATTACTTTAAATTTGATGTCTCTTAACACATGATTGCATTTATATATTCGTATTTAGTTAACTCGTTACACTCTCAGACGCACCTCTCACTGCATGATGCAACCTTCTTGGCCGAGAGGTGACACTGCCGTCTAACATCTGGGGAATGGGGTCAAGTTCTGGAAGAAGGATGAAGCCCATAAAACACGCACTGGCCTGTGAGTCGTAAAGCTCACAGGCCAGTGCGTTAACCACTTGGCCAGCTGTGAGTCATAATGGCGGTTTGGAAGGGACTTGCATTTGTGGTCATAGTGGTGGCCCAAGTTAACCTCCTTATGGTGTATAGAAATATACCTAGTTGGATGAATCTTATTAGAGCCAGCTGGCCCAGTGGTTAACGCACTGGACTCACTTGCCATGGCTTCAGCCCCTTCCCTCCCACTCCCCTCTGTGATTCGTTTTCAATCGTGTTATTACTATTTCGTGAGTCTGGGGCAAAGCCTGCAAACCTTACTCAAGGAGAAGGACCTTGGGGTGAGTATCATACCAAGCGCCTATCAACCAAATAACTGCTGCAGTAAATGCGTGTCTGGCAAGTCTAAGAACATAACTTCGACATCTAAGTAAGGACTCATTCACGATACTGTACACCGTGTACGTCAGGCCCATATTGGAGAATGCAGCAATCGCATGAAACCCACACCTGGTCAAGCATACCAAGAAATTGGAGAAAATGCCTAGGTTTGCAACAAGATTAGTCCCGTAGTCCCGGAGATAAGGGATATATCCTATGAGGAGAGGTTAAAGGAGCTTAACTTGATGACATTGGGGGACAGGAGGGCTAGGGGTGATATGATACGACGTACAAAATAATGACAGGAATTGACAAGGTGAGCAGGGAATGTTTCAGAGATGAGGGATAGGAGCAAGAGGGCATAGTTGGAAGTTAAAAACTCATAATGAGCCATAGGATGCAAGGAAGTATTTATTCAGCCTTAGAGTTGTCAGCAAGTGGAACAATCTGGAGAGTGATGTGGTAGAAGCAGATCTATACACAGCTTTAAGAACAGGTGCGATAAGGCCCTTGGAGGAGGGAGTGTGTGGACCTATTAGCGACCTGCGAAGAGTCGGGGCCAAGAGCTGTGAATCGATCCTTGCAACCACAAATAGGTGAGTACACACACACGCACACACCTTCCACCCCTCTCACCACCATTACCATTAACTCCCCGCCCTTCCCCATTCCTCCCCCCCCCCACCCCTTCTCCCAGCTCCTGCTGTTTTAACAAAGCCAAATTTGCATATAAAGTTTATTATAATGATAGTAAATATATCAAGGTTTTGGAAATTAAGGCAAAAGAAAATCATACATTCTTTCTTAAGAGAACACAAAGAAAATGAGTTGACTTTGATTTATTTTATTCTCATTGTGGCTATAATATTATATTGTGTTGGTGAAATTTGTAGTTGTTGATGTTGTTATACTAATGATTACGGGGGAAGCGCTAAATCCGTAGGGGTCCTACACTGCCTGTGGAATGGGAGGGAATCAGGTTCGATCCGAGGAAGAACAGAGTAGCACCATTTCCTTGGATCAAGAGCTTGTCAGTGGCGTCAAGGAGCTCCCCCTGAAATCAACATTGCACACCATAATCATGCCTACAGTTATTCCATGCTTTTAATTACCTTCAAACTTCCTGGCGCAGTTAATGAGACAAAGAAAACACGAACGAGGTGGAATTGCCTTGTTTGCTTGTTTGCACGGCGGCTCTTTGTCTGCGGTCAATTATTGGTTTAATTTGACCCAGTGACGACAATTCCCGGGCTGTATATCACATAATTATGTTGGTAAACATGCGGGTAATGAGTGTGTGTTCACATGGGGACACTGGCAAACATTGCGGCTCTGTGAGTATTTTGTAAGTGACTAGCTGAGCTTATGTGTTGATCCACCGCTCCTGGGCCCGTCTCTTAAATTTAATCCCTCTGACGCTGAAGGTTAAACGGCGGGCCCAGGAAGTGTGGCTCAACCCATAAGCTCAACTAGGGGTGGAGATGGGGAAGCACGGTGAGGGCGTCTGGTTATGAATCTCTCACAAGACGGGTCATTTGTCAGGCACTTTCCTACCTCTGAAAGAATATTTTCCCTCAACCTGTCTGTTGCTACTCTGGAAATAACGAAGCTAGTGTTTTCCGACCTCCAGTTGCTTGTTTTGTGATACGACTCCTATGTCGTTCCCTGGACTGTTTCCATCTCAATTGTTCCTTGAGGCCGGTGAAGGGCTCTTGATCCAGTTAACTGAAGCTACAGTCATTTTCCTTGTGTCAAACCTGAACATTCAGAGCAAAGGATCTCCATGTTCCTGTACCCTACAAAGATATATTTCTCTTGGGTGATATTGAATCCACTGACCCAGATTCCGAGTTCGAACCTGCCAGAGTCAACAACCAGGAGCCACGTCTAGTGACTCAAAGAAACCTTAACGATCTTGAGGGCGAGGTGGTGTAGAGGTGTACCTAATAAAGTGGCCATACCCAGTATACAATAAATTTATGTTTAGTCTTGCCATCGCATGCATCTCACATTATATTTATGCATACTGCAATACGTATGATTATTAGCCAACATTTATCATGTAATTCTTTAAACTTAAAAGAGCCAAAATATTGATCATATTTCTGAAAACCATTACGTGACACAGACTAAACAAACTCAGATTCGTAATCAGCGCATTACAACAACAAGTTTGGTTTCTGAACTCGATATAATTTTTAATTCTGAAGGCTAGTGTAATTTATACAAGGATAAAACGAACAGGAAAGACATATGTACTTTATTGTATTCAAATCTTGAAATGAACATTAAAATATGTTCTTATATATATATATATATATATATATATATATATATATATATATATATATATATATATATATATATATATATATATATATATATATATATATATAGATTCATACAAGTAAATGAAATTCTAAATATTTATGCAAATGTTGCCACTTAATAATAATAATGGGCCACTCCTGGCATACAAGGCACTGATGTACACGTAGGTACGGTAATACCAATTGTGGAGTTCCTCACGCCTGTCTTGTGTCACATTTCCTCAGAGATAAAGCATCATACTACCTCTACCACCACTTAAGTGGTGAAGCACCTTGCTACCTCCACCACCAGTTGAGTGGTGATGCACCTTGCTACCTCCACCACCAGTTGAGTGGTGAAGCACCTTGCTACTTCCACCACCAGTTGAGTGGTGAGTGATGGAACACCTTGCTACCTCCATCACCACTTGAGTGGTGAAGCACCTTGCTACCTCCACCACCACTTAACAGAAGCCTCCTGATTTCCCCTCAAGAATGGTTGTTACCGCTCTCCTGAGTGTCAGGGCAATTCCTAACGCCTTTCTAGCTCCCTCATTCATACCCTCTTAAGTACCACTCAGATTACCTAGCTCGTTTTATGAAATATTTTTTCCTGATTGGATCGTTTATTTTGTGACGTAACTCTGGATATTTCCATTTTTATACATATCTTTCTATATAAGCTGATTTTATTTCATTTCCTTTTATTTCCTCTTCATTTCCTTTTATTTCCTCTTCATTTCTCTCTACTGTGACGAAACATTTGATGCCTTCCTTCCGTATCTATCGCTCCTAATTTGGATATTCTCTTATTTACCTTCTGTCGTATTCCACTTAATCGATTTCTGTCATACTTTCACTTATTTATGTTTTTTATGTGGTATATTTATTAATTTTTTGAGTTATATCCATTTACTGATAATTTTTTTTTGTGTGTGTTTCATTATTCTTTTTTACCCATTTCTTTACCCACAATGTGTATTCACTTTTTGCTAAACGACTTTACCGGATTTTACGCCTAATGTGTTTTTTTAATTATAAAAATTCAATCACATTAATATGTAAAAATAATTTAGGCTAGCATAGGCACCACTTAAAGACTTTTATTATTCGCTTTTTGTGCATTCCAACTAATGTAAGTTCACTGTGTTATTGTAATTCTTCAGATTTTTCAAGGAACTCAAGAACTTTGATGTTTTTTTTTTCAATTCTTCTCTGAGCACAGGTAAATTTTCTTCGACAAGGACACTGGTTAGAGAAGAAATCTTACGACGCTTGCAGAGGCACTAACACTATTGAAAGACTGGTCGAACTGAGTCACAAATATCGGTCAGACTCAATCGGGCACTGCAATGATTGATCAGAGCCACTCAGAAGTGGTGATTGGTCAGAGGCACTGTGAATTAGACTAAGGAACTGTGGTTATTCATAGGCACTGCGATTGATCAGTGGTCAGATTAAGTAAATCACTGTGATTAGTCACATCTGCCGAGTTATTGTCACTGACCAGAGTCATTTACAATGGCTGAACTCAACGAGTCACCTCGAATGGACAGAACAATTTATGCTACCATCACTGGGAAACCGGCTCGTTGTGATTATTTATTTGCCCAGAGTTGTAGAAACTCTCCCCTGAGGCACTGAGTGCACTTGATTCCTCTTCCAGGCACTCGACGGCAGCAATTTGAACACTTTGTCCTCTGAGATTTTCTTATGCCCACCTTAGGTCAATAGGGACGCCAGACAGGGTCAGGAGGACGGTGACCAGTAGAGGGACTGACCCTAGACAAAGGGGGCAGAGACGAACTAGAAGGGAGGGCCATGTCCTCTTGTATGACTGAGGGTGGGGCAGAGGAGGTGGGCGTGTGTGGGAGGGCAGAGCATAATGAAGAGTAAAGGATGGAAGCAGGGAGGATGGGCGGAGTCAAATACACACCAGGTCCGCCCCCAAGCAGATTTGTCCCGCCCCCTGAAATGCTTGTTACTCCTCCCAGTCCATTAACTCCGCCCCCAATAACGCTAACTCCTCCTCCTAACATACTGGCTCCACCCCCTAAACCGTTGGCCCCGCCCCTTAAACCGTTTGCCCCGCCCCCTAACACAGTGGTTCCTCCCCCTAACCCGTTAACTCCACCCCCTAGGATGCTAGCTCCGCCCCCCAGCATTCCCAGGGAGGTGGCGACGGAGACGGCAGGAGGCAACACTGATGGAGGACCAGACAGCAGATCCTTCGACAGCGTCAGGTTCCCGTCACCTCCACGGTGCTCCGTCATCACTGAAATAAAATATAACAGAAATGCTATTATCTATATTATTTTTCATATTAAATTTAATAGGTTTAAGGCCTATCGACTGCACGAGTTCATGAAGGTTGAAATATACTTGTATACCACAAGTCAATACTTTTGTCAAATCAAATAAGGAATAAAAGCAATATGTCAGTGTATATACACAGATATACAACTTTTTGTGTATATACACAGATACACAACTCTCTGTGTATATACACAGATATACACCTCTCTGTGTATATACACAGATATACACCTCTCTCTGTATATACCATGTTCTAATTACACCTCTTGGTATATAAAGGTAATACACCTCTCTGTGTATATACACAGATTATACACCTCCTGGTAATACACAGATTTTACACCTCTCGTGTATATACACGATATACACCTCTCTGTGTATACCGATATACACCTCTCTGTGTATATACACGAATACACCTCTCTGTGCATATACACAGATATACCCTCCTGTGTTATTACAAGATATACCCTCTCTGTGTATATACACAGATACGCACCTCTCTGTGTATATACACGAGACACACCTCCTGTGTATGACACAATACACCTCCTGTATATCCCATGTTTGCTAATTACTGTTAGAAATTTAGGTTATGAGTTAATGCCTATCGACTACAAGAGAATAATTATTCCCTAAATAAGAAGTGACTTAACCCCTAAAATAAGTGACTAAATTCGATTATAAATACCTCTCGGTGTTTATAATCGAATTTAGTCACTACTTCCTGTTTTTAATGAGAGTTTATTCAAGTCTTATTACATGTAGATTACATTTTGTAATTTACATGTAATAATAAATTTAGTGTGGTAATACCACTAACTCATTTATCTAACAACCAGTCTCATAAAAGAATATATCTTTTAATATAATTTAAAAGCTAATCTCTAATAGTAAATGTCGAGAACTCGGCTTGAGTCCATATAGTACATCAGCAACATTGTGAAATTAGGACAGTTTGCGTGTAAATATATGTAAATATATGTTAATTTACCTAAGTGGGGAAAAGAAAACGAGCTTCACTGTAATACAGAGTGAGGGGGTAACTGAGCTGTTTGTTAACCTCATGTATGGACTGCGGAGAGGCCGGCGCCTTGGTACTTACAACTTAAATGACTGCTTGACGCCATGGCTTCTGCGATCGCTCCTTCCCGCTGCAACGTGGGCGGGAGTGAAGACGTAATGTGGGCGTGGGCGTGACCTGAGGGACAAGCTGTGAGGGAGGAGCCAAGGTAGGAGGCAGAGTATCCGGCTGATGGGTAGCCGGCCCATCCAGCCTCGACTAGACCTGCGGAACAAAACTATCTGTAATGTTTTGTCGAAAATGTGATAATGATAAAGAGGTGTGATACACAGTGATAAGTGAGACAACGTGCCAAGTATCGCCGCTTAAATTAATAGTAGTTTGACTGTAACGGGATCTCCTAGTTAAAATTATATTAACGATTGTATTCGCATTATTTAATCCTGAGACTCAGTAACGCAAGTTAACGCAGAAGAGCCCAATCATCGTGGTTTTTTTTCCATTGGGGAGCCATTTATCTTCCCCAGGATGCGACCCACAACAGAGACCTAACACGCAGTTACCTACTTACTGCTGGAAAAACATGCGCAACAAGTGTAAGCAAATATGTCCAACATTTCCACTACATGATATACAACATATGTATAACATACGTGTGTTATTAGTGCCATCGTTAAAATTAATTTCATTGTCTGTAAAGTTATTTTGTGATTTTTTTAAATAAAGCTTATAGTATATTATCTTATTTACACAGCTGTGAATTGGGTTCACAACTGAATGCACCTGGGTCAAACCCTGGGCAGGGAGAGACGTGTGAGCAAGTCTCATAAACACCTGTGCCCTTTATACCCAGCAGTCAATAGATACCTACTAAATTTATGGTTATAATGGTATGTAATACCTACAAATAGTTGGAAAATAGGACATAAAATACAAAACAATAAGAAATTTCATTAAAAAGGTTTTAATCTCGTGACTTAGGTCGTTCCAGAGGTGAATTTGGAGTGACAAAGGTCAGAGGACCGGAACGATTCCAATACGTCCTAGTGTTTTGCATTTTGTGCCTTTCTCGAAACTAAATTCTTATATATTCTGACCTGCCTTGACACAATCAGGTAAATAATTCCACTCCATCAGTTGTATAACAGCTGGGCAATAGGCCTGTTGCAATGGGCTAATAGGCCTGTTGCAATGGGCTAATAGGCCTGTTGCAATGGGCTAATAGGCCTGTTGTAATGGGTGTCAGTAGGCTTGTTACAATGGGCCAATAGGCTTGTTGCAATGAGCTAATAGGCCTGTTGCAGTGTTTCTCCTTATGTTCTTAAGATCTGCCAAACTACTCAGGCAACTGCAAAATTCTATCTGTCCCCAGTACAATATTTATTGTGTCCCAAAATAAAACAAAAAAGCAGATTATGTGGACACCGTTTACAATAATGGTGAACAGTACAGACAAGTTAACGAACAAGACATGTCCAACAGTAGGGGATCTTTACTGTTAAAACATTTCATCTACATAACAGGCTTTTTCAGTCGAATACAGGGGCGACTAAATATGAGAACAGCAAAGGCAGTGATGATGTAATCAGTCCCTCAACTTTGAAGTAACGACGTCATCTCCACATTCCTCAACTCACCTCTGACAACAAAAGGATCCATTCTCATGCTTAGTGCTGGGTCACCACAGGGACAAGACCCGGGCCAGGACCCGTCCTGGCAAACCTACATCAACTTGTACATGTTTCAGACCCGTGTCAGCAGACACTTGGCCAGTACCCTGATGAATAAAGCAACGAGCTTCACCTTCACATTGTTCAAGACTATGGAGATGAACACGTCTGAAGCCGAGGGACTGACCACCTCAAAACTACGTCTCCAAGGGTGATGGACTGATTACAGAGTCTCTACATCTAAACTGCTTCTATTGCCTCGCCTGTACTTGACTGAAGTCTACTGTGTAGGCGAAACGTTTCGGAATGAAACGTTTCTCCTACTCATCTTCCTGTTAACAGTATATACTATCAATTGTTCATCCTGTAGTTCATCCTGGTCTACATGGTTGTAGTTCATCCTGGTCTACATGGTTGTAGTTCATCCTGGTCTACATGGTTGTAGTTCATCCTGGTCTACATGGTTGTAGTTCATCCTGGTAAACATGGTTGTAGTTCATCCTGGTCTACATGGTTGTAGTTCATCCTGGTCTTCATGGTTGTAGTTCATCCTGGTCTACATGGTTTTAGTTCATCCTGGTTTACATGGTTGTAGTTCATCCTGGTCTACATGGTTGTAGTTCATCCTGGTCTACATGGTTGTAGTTCATCCTGGTCTACATGGTTGTAGTTCATCCTGGTCTACATGGTTGTAGTTCATCCTGGTCTACATGGTTGTAGTTGATCCTGGTCTACATGGTTGTAGTTCATCCTGGTCTACATGGTTGTAGTTCATCCTGGTCTACATGGTTGCAGTTCATCCTGGTCTACATGGTTGTAGTTCATCCTGGTCTACATGGTTGTAGTTCATCCTGGTAAACATGGTTGTAGTTCATCCTGGTCTACATGGTTGTAGTTCATCCTGGTCTACATGGTTGTAGTTCATCCTGGTCTACATGGTTGTAGTTCATCCTGGTCTACATGTTGTAGTTCATCCTGGTCTACATGGTTGTAGTTCATCCTGGTCTACATGTTTGTAGTTCATCCTGGTCTACATGGTTGTAGTTCATCCTGGTAAACATGGTTGTAGTTCATCCTGGTCTACATGGTTGTAGTTCATCCTGGTCTACATGGTTGTAGTTCATCCTGGTCTACATGGTTGTAGTTCATCCTGGTCTACATGGTTGTAGTTCATCCTGGTAAACATGGTTGTAGTTCATCCTGGTCTGCATGGTTGTAGTTCATCCTGGTCTACATGGTTGTAGTTCATCCTGGTCTACATGGTTGTAGTTCATCCTGGTAAACATGGTTGTAGTTCATCCTGTCTACATGGTTGTAGTTCATCCTGGTAAACATGGTTGTAGTTCATCCTGGTCTATATGGTTGTAGTTCATCCTGGTCTACATGGTTGTAGTTCATCCTGGTCTACATGGTTGTAGTTCATCCTGGTCTACATGGTTGTAGTTCATCCTGGTCTACATGGTTGTAGTTCATCCTGGTAAACATGGTTGTAGTTCATCCTGGTCTACATGGTTGTAGTTCATCCTGGTAAACATGGTTGTAGTTCATCCTGGTCTATATGGTTGTAGTTCATCCTGGTCTACATGGTTGTAGTTCATCCTGGTCTACATGGTTGTAGTTCATCCTGGTCTACATGGTTGTAGTTCATCCTGGTCTACATGGTTGTAGTTCATCCTGGTCTACATGGTTGTAGTTCATCCTGGTAAACATGGTTGTAGTTCATCCTGGTCTACATGGTTGTAGTTCATCCTGGTCTACATGGTTGTAGTTCATCCTGGGAAACATGTTCTCTTGCAAACATTCAAACAAACAAAAACAGCAGCAAAAAACAAAACAAAAACAGCAACAACAGATAAACTAAAACAACGGAAACAGAAAAAAAGAGAACAGCAATAAAGAAAAACAACAGAAAAAGTAAAAACAACAAACAGCAACAACAAACTTAACAAATAAAATCAGTAAGGATAAAAAAAATCACATAAAAACAAAAATGTCAATAACAGCAAAAACAATAACAAACAAAACAACAAAAACAATAATACCAGAAACAATAACTGATATAAACAATAACAACAAAAACAACAACAGAAAACAATATAACAGTAAAAACAACAACAACAACAACAATAGGGGAAGGAAGCGTGACGACTCTAAACAAATAGAACAGTAAACCATGGTAGGTTATGGTGGGTTATGGTGGGTTATGGTGGGTTATGGTGGGTTATGGTAGGTTATGGTGGGTTATGGTGGGTTATGGTGGGTTATGGTGGGTTATGGTGGGTTTATGGTGGTTATGGTGGTTATGGTGGTTATGGTGGGTTATGGTGGGTTATGGTGGTTATGGTAGGTTATGGTGGGTTATGGTAGGGTTATGGTGGGTTATGGTGGGTTATGGTAGGTTATGGTGGTTTATGGTGGGTTATGGTGGGTTATGGTGGGTTATGGTGGGTTATGGTGGGTTATGGTGGGTTATGGTGGGTTATGGTAGGTTATGGTGGGTTATGGTAGGTTATGGTAGGTTATGGTGGGTTATGGTGGGTTATGGTAGGTTATGGTAGGTTATGGTGGGCTATGGTGGGTTATGGTAGGTTATGGTGGGTTATGGTGGGTTATGGTGGGTTATGGTAGGTTATGGTGGGTTATGGTGGGTTATGGTGGGTTATGGTGGGTTATGGTAGGTTATGGTGGGTTATGGTGGGTTATGGTAGGTTATGGTGGGTTATGGTGGGTTATGGTTAGGTTATGGTGGGTTATGGTGGGTTATGGTAGGTTATGGTGGGTTATGGTGGGTTATGGTGGGTTATGGTAGGTTATGGTGGGTTATGGTGGGTTATGGTGGGTTATGGTAGGTTATGGTGGGTTATGGTGGGTTATGGTGGGTTATGGTAGGTTATGGTAGGTTATGGTAGGTTATGGTGGGTTATGGTGGGTTATGGTAGGTTATGGTGGGTTATGGTAGGTTATGGTGGGTTATGGTAGGTTATGGTGGGTTATGGTAGGTTATGGTGGGTTATGGTGGGTTATGGTAGGTTATGGTGGGTTATGGTGGGTTATGGTGGGTTATGGTAGGTTATGGTGGGTTATGGTGGTTAGTTATGGTAGGTTATGGTGAGTATATGGTAGGTTATGGTAGGTTATGGTTATGTGGTTATGGTGGGTTTATGGTGGGTTATGGTGTTAGGAGTTATGGTAGTTATGGTAGTTTTATGGTGAGGTTATGGTAGGTTATGGTAGGTTATGGTAAGGTTATGGTAGGTTATGGTAGGGTTATGGTAGGTTATGGTAGGTTATGGTAGGTTATGGTAGGTTGATGGTAGGTTATGGTAGGTTATGGTAGGTTATGGATAGGTTATGGTAGGTTATGGTAGGTTATGGTGGGTTATGGTAGGTTATGGTGGGTTATGGTAGGTTATGGTAGGTTATGGTAGGTTATGTTAGGTTATGGTAGGTTATGGTAGGTTATTGGTAGGTTTTATGGTAGGTTAAGAGTTATGGTAGGTTATGGTAGGTTATGGTAGGTTATTGGTAGGTTATGGTAGGTTATGGTAGGTGTTATGGTAGGTTATGGTAGGATTATGGTAGGTTAGGTAGGTTATGGATTACGGTTATGGTAGTTATATGGTTAGGTTATAGGTAGGTTATGGTAGGTTATAGGTAGGTTATGGTAGGTTATGTGGGTTATGGTAGGTTATGGTAGGTTATGGTAGGTTATGGTGGTTAATGGTAGGTTATGGTGGGTTAGTGGTTAGGTTATGGTAGTTTTGAGTTATGGTAGGTTATGGATGGTTTGTGGTTATGGTAGGTTATGGTAGGTTATGGTGGGTTATGGTAGGTTATGGTAGGTTATGTTGGTTATGGTAGGTTATTAGTAGCTGGTCTCCAGCCTGCTCTCGTCGATTTCGTCTCCTCATGCGTGCCTCTATGGTGGTTATACCTTGCTAGTATGCAGCTTCACCTGGCTAGGAGGATGGTTTCTTCCAGCGTTCATGATCATTCACGGGTTGGTTATAGTGTTAATAATTTCGGCCCAGTCCTTCCGTTCCGTCTCCTCCTTTCCTGGCCTGTAGGCGTCGTCAATGCTCATCAGTCCTTTCGCCCGTCGGTCAATTGTCACGTCACGGTTAAATCAATACGTCCGTCCCCGTCCGTACGTCCGTCTTCGTCCGTCTCAGTCATCATCCATACCGTCGGTCAACGTCGCCGTTAATCATGTGTGGTGTACGTCGTCCGTCTCCTCCTCAACCATTGTCAGCCTAGAATGTGACTGCGTCTAACCATGTCGCTCTAAGACGTTATACCGTTGCCATTTTCTACCGCGTTACACTTATGTACCCTCAGCTTCATATTAATCTCCGGTGGAGAGAGGGCGCCGCCCCCACATCCACATCGGGCGGGCGTCACCCCTCTGGTGGGCGCTGGTGGGGTCGCTATGCTCAGGCTTTAGACCAGCGTGGCTTGCGCCCTTCGTGCCTAAATAAATGGCAAGTCCCGGGAGTGTTTTAAATGCGGGTGTTGCATGCTAGTAGGTCATATACGGATACGGGGGTGGGTAGGTGGAGGTGGTTATTGTTGGGGGATAGGGGTGGTGGGGGATTGTTGTGGTGGTGAGGCTAGGGAGAGTGGTAGGGATAGGGGATGGTTGTGGTGGTGGGGCTAGAGGGGTGGTAAGGGTGGGGGGGATGGTGGTGGTGATGGGGTTGGGGTTTAGGGAGGGGATGACTGTGGAGGTTGGTTGAAGTTTGTGGTAGTGGTTGTAATAGATGGTTGTGGAAGTGGTGGTTGTTGAGGGGGGTTGTTTGGATGAGATGATTATAGTGAGTGGTATTATTATTATTATTATTATTATTTATTATTATTATTATTATTATTTATTATTATTATTAGCAGCAGCAGTAGTAGTAGTAGTAATAGTAGCGGTAGTAGTAGTAATAGTAGTGGTAGTAGTATGGTAGTGGCAGTAGTAATAGTTGTGGTAGTAGTAATAGCAGTGGTGGT